GAAGGGATCTCGCAATGACTGCGCAAACCACCGTGGAATAAGTTTGATCCCAATCGTCACTAAGTTGCTAGTTTAGGGGACAAACATCCGCGGACAACAAGCAGGATTTCGACCAGGTCGCGGTTGTATCGACCAAATCTTCACTCTGCGTCAAGTCCTCGAACTACATCATACGCACCGTCGACCAACGGTTGTCGTGTTCCTTGACCTAAAATGAGCCTTCGACTCAGTTGATCGTGAATCCCCTATGGGCTCCCTCCTTCGCAAAGGAATGCCGCGGAAGTATGTGAACATACTGAGTTTACTCTACTCACATACTTCTGGTAGCGTAAGGGTTAGCTGAGTAGGTCGTTCATAACTAGCAGCGGTGTTCGTCAAGAGTGCCCTCTTTCACCATTCCTATTTAATTTCGTCATAGACGAAATGCTGGAGAACGCACTTAGTGGTCTCCAAAGTGTAGGTATTGAATGAGCAGCTGGAGAAAAGCTGTGCGATTTGGAGTTCGCTGACGACATTGTTTGCTTGTTCGAATGTATGGAGAATGCACAAAGAGCACTTGACAGATTATCAAGTTCTGTCGCTCCATTCGGCATGTGATTTGCACCTTCAAAGCGCAAAGTGATGCTACAAGACTGGGTGTCACCGAGTTCTGTTTTGAAACTAGACGGTCAGGAATTAGCTGTGGTTGACTGCTTCTGGTACTTAGGTAGCTGCGTGACCAACGACGGTAGCGCATCGAAGGAGATAACCGCCCGAATTTCCAAGGCTTGAGCAGCGTACGCAGGACTAAAACACCTGTGGCGGCGACGTGACGTGTCACTAAAGTTGAAAAGTCGCTTATACTGCGCCACAGTAGAATCAGTTCTACTTTACGGTTGTGAGACCTTGAACTTGCCGGTAGAAGACACCGGTCGTTTAGCAGTGTTCGACAGTCAATGCTTACGTAGTCTGGCCCAGGTTGGATGGAGTGAGCGGGTTAGTAACTTATAAGTAAGTCGTCGAGTGTTTGGGAATACATTCAACAAGAACTCGCTATCTCATGCAATCTAGCGCAATAGGCTCCGTTGGTTAGGATACGTTTTGCGTATGTTCGACGGTCGCCTACCGAAGCGCGCCTTGTTTGCAGTGGCTGTTGCAGGCTGGAGAAAACCACGTGGAGGCCAGAAGATGACGTGGAGACGAGGCATGAAGAAATACACAGAGCGATTAGGTATATTAGGTGTCTCTCGTCTTCCGGTTTGGGGTCCAAAAGACTCCGAAACCGCATGGTCGGAGACACTGAAGGTCATGGTTGCGAAGCGATAGCAATGGCGACCATGCTGTCGCTTCTTATCAGAACTAGTATGCATGCACCGTTGGGCTGTGTACTCTGTGTGTTGGCCATAGAGGTTCGCTTTCTTTTCCCGTCCCTAAAATAGGCCCAATCCTTGTTCTCCTTATACATTCTCACTTATCTTGTATGCAATATGAGTTTGGCAGCGATCAGTGAAGTTCGCTTCAATGTATTACCCTGTACAATGATGATAGTGATGATGGTGATGATGATAATGATTGAAATCACTTGACCATCAGTTATCATCGATTTCACCAATCTGCGGTCGCGGTGAAGTAGAGTTGATCTTTCGCTTCTATATTTAGTAATTTTTGTATGGTTGTTCATTCACCGTGAGTGAACAACCCCATCTACTGCCTATTCGTCTGTTTGCTTTAAGCCGACAATTGAAAGGATTAAAAGAAATGTTAATATCTCTATTGGTTCATTGTCCTTAGTGAAGATTGATTTACCCCTTTGTTAGCAGGTCATCATGTACTTCCTTGAAGTGTAACAGTTTGTTCCACAAACGATATGCGGCCCTTTTTTTCCTCTTCAGTCAGAAACACTGCTATTGTTTGATTTATTCTCTCTACTATCTAACTTTCAGGATTCGATTGGGACTCCGAGGTCTGAAACATCCAAGCCATCTCCTGCAGCTGAAAGTGAGTTATTTATTTATTGACACTGAACTCGACACGGCACTTTTTGCACTTCTTGAGTTCTATTTTCACTCGCAACTTAAATAATAAATAAATAAAATTATGGTTGAAAAAATTGAATATTGAAGTACATGAGACGAATATTTTATAACAGGATCGAATAAAAATGTGGCAAAGTCAAAGTTTTAATATGGGAATATCTTACAAGCTCGTGCTTCTCTTGTCGCATATGATATTTGCATAGATGAATCGTTACACGTCGAAACAGGAGTCACATAGAGCAATCACGTTGAAGCCACGGACTCCAAGCTTGGATGGCGTACTCTGTGTGGGGTCGAATGTACGCTGGTAGCAAACGTGGGAATAGTGATGATTCAAACCGGCCAAAGACTCGCCGAAGTAAGCCGACATTCTTCATAGCAGCAGACAAAGCCTTAGCACAATTGTTGGGGCAGCTTAAATCCTCTTGAACAACAATACCTAAGTCCTTTTCGCTAGAAGTATGTGGTAGCTGCTGGTCCCCGGGGAAATACGAGAATTTCCGCTTGTGGCGTAGGGATAGGACTTTGCATTTAGAAACATCAAATTCAATGTCGTTCTCCTTAGACCATTGATAAGCTGCGTTGAGTGATTCTTGAAGTGTTTGGGAGCCCTCTGGTTCTGTTACCGTGTTCCAAATTTTGGCGTCATCTGCAAACGGTATTGTTTTTGGAGCCCAACACTTTCGGTGGATCATTTATGAAGGCGAGGAACAGCCGGGGACCGAGTACGGACCCTTGTGGAACACCGCAGGTGGCTTTGATGGATCCAGATATAGAATCAGAAACACGAACTGATATGGTCCGTTGTTCGAGGATTGCTTTAATCCACTCAAATGCGAAATCTCGAACGCTATAATTGTAGAGCTTCTGCAGCAAAATTTTATAATTCACTCGATCAAATGCTTTCACGAATTCGAGATAAATCACATCCACCGC